AATAAATATATTGTGTGTGTATTCTTGTAACTTTATGTAATTTAAGGTTTTTAAGCCAAGCCAAGCAATTGTTTCCTATTATTTACACATCTTATGATCGGTTTTCTGATCCAATACCAGTCAGAGCATGTGCTTCGGAATACTGACAAGCATAAGATATACCAATTTCTAAATAAAAATAACTTCACAGATCTCACAGACGGCCGTCTGTTCCCAAACTAGGCCGAGCCTGTACTATGATAACCAGACTGCTAATAAACATACTCATATATTTCTAAATACATATGTATTATAAATAAATTACACCCAGCCAGACATAGAAAAAATTACCGTGCGTATTACACAACTCATCAGACTGCACGGATGGCGTAGTGGTTTAAGCGGTCACCTCGCCGCTTCCTACTGCGCCGAGTGTTGTGGGTTCGATTCGAGAAGTGAAGTATAAAGTTTATACAACTTTATTTAAGTTTTAAAAATCAATTTAATACTGAAATATGCCTAACTTAAGTAAATCTGGTTACAATTAAACTAAGGAGTCTAAATAATTATGATTTTTTTCATCACATCAGTGCGCTCTGTGCCTTATTTAAAGATTTGTTAAAGAATTGCGATATAAAAAGATTAGTTTCTTAACTTCACCAGAAAGTGTTTAAATCGAAAATGGTTTTAAAAATATAATTTGAAGCTGTTGAAGAAAATCTACTGTTTATATACTCCATTTTAAATAATTAAAAAACTATTAGTGGTTTATTATACTTGTTTTTTTTATTTAGTAATCTAATGTAAATTACATTACCACATTTATAACGCATTAGTTGCAGGATACTGTAACTGATGCGTTATAAATGTGGTAATTTTTCAAAATAATTTATGATAATAAATGACTAACTTGGGTTATGGCGCTTGGGCCTCCTTCTAAGACATCAAAGAAATAAATGTTGTCATCAAAAGACAACAAAGAAGAATGTTTTGATGTGAAATGTATGTATGTGTCAAAGATTTCATGTTTCAAATGTTAACGTGACGAAAGAAGAACCATGCGTCTTCAAGGTGACTCTTCTGATGTAAGCTTGTGAACATACGAATATTTGCCGGTTAGCTGTTCGGTCGCGTAGTTTGTTGGACTGTACTTTTCTTTTTTGGTAACCTCATCCTCAAAAGAGGTCTTATCGTAACAAGGATTACATTACATCACAAAAATATCTGAGATCTGCCTAACAAATTTAAAAAAGGTTTTCATTTTTTTCGTGTTAATGAAACCTACGCTACTAATCTACTGACATAACTAACGATACAACAAGGTTGACAAATATAGGAAAAATGCTATTGTGTGAAACAAAATGATATAGAACATTTTATGACAGTGTGACCCATCTTCGTTGATTGTACGAGTAGACTTTCAAACAAGTTAATCGTCAAATGTTTGATCGGATCGCGAAGGCTCGACCGGAGTGACACCACGGCTTACAGAAAACCGGTGTTTAGCAACTCATTGCTTAACACCGAGCGAGTGACGTTACCTGAGTCCAAAAGATTCTCAGGGGGACTCAAACGTATAATATAATATACCTCACCCATCTCACACACGGCCGTCTGATCCCAAACTAGGCAGAGCCGGTAACCAGACTGCTGATAAACATACTTATATATTTTTAAATACATACATATTATAGATAAATTACACACAGACACAGAACAAATGATCGTGCTCATCACACAATATTTGTCCTGGGTGGGAATCGAACCCACGACCTCCGGCTTAGCAGTCAGAGGCACTAACCACTACAGGCCCGTCAACGCACTTGTGACAGTTGCAGGTCTCTATGGCCGACGGTAGTCGCTTACCATCAGGTGACCCGTCTGCTTGTTTGACATATGACACTATCAGTCCGACATAATCACCCCACCGGTGGGTGACATCCGAGGGTATTTCCGCACAGGAAAAAAAAAGTCAGCAGTCAAAAAAAAAAAAGCCGACGGTCAGAGAACCCTTACACGCGATCGATGACCGACGTGTGTCAACCGCCAGAGACGTACGCCGTAGGCCGCGTGGGAGTGGGTTCTCTGGACCCGGCCTCTTAGGCCCGGTGTTCTCTGACAACTACGAGAAACTATTTCAACATTCATAAAATCACCGACCCACATAAATTGTTGTTTGATACATCGGGCAAGATAGTAATATATTTAATAATAATTATTAACAATTCGTCATTTTCCTTATTAAAACTCATTTTAAAGTCAGAACGCGCCCCCATCGCTATGGTACCGCTATGGACGACCGACGTTTAGAGAATTCCGGGCCTTAGATATTTCTTGAAGTTAAGTATCGACCACTTCTCGAGACAATACGATAAATGGATTGCCTCATATCATATGATTGTCGTAATTAATATTAATTTCGATTTCTATTTACACAGTTTGCGTTATAGCTTTTTCACGGACGAACTCCTGCATTTGAGATAAACTTATCGCACGTCCGTTTAACAAATACTACTACTACTAACATCCCACTGTAAAGTTAAATTTACCGCAAGTTTCCAACTAGAAAAACAGAAGGTGTGTCAAATCGTAATATTAATTAGAGTGTTGCCTTTTTAATATGACCTTCTTATCTATGACCTTATTATTCTAGTTAAAGTATCCAAATTTCAATCGTCTGTCTGTAGTATATTTAAATTATACACTTATTTTTTGTTGGTTACATGACGGATGGTACTTTGGTCACTCTGCATATTATACACGGAATCTGTTCACGGTACCTCTATTGTAATATCTTTATAATATTTTTTTATTGTTACTTAAGTCTGCTACGACTGCACGGATGGCGTAGTGGTTTAAGTGGTCGCCACGCCGCTTACTACTACGCTGAGTGTTGTGGGTCCGATCCCCACAGGGACGACACTTTGTGTGATCCACATAGTTGTTCTGAGTCTGGGTGTTCTTTGTGTCCGTTTCATGTATGTTTGTAAAGTCCCCCGCGACACAGGATCTACTCCTAATGCGGGAGTTGTCTTTTTTAAAAGAAAGAAAAAGAAAGAAGTCTTCTCTCGGTTCCCTAATTATCACACAGTCTCGACATTTACTTAATCGCTTTGTTCTGCTCTTAAGCTTTGCTTTTTATAAGCTATATTAAGCTATAAGAACGTTCTTCAATGTCAACAGCTTTTCTAGGAAGTCATTAAGAATGCCAAATGCTGTAAAATTTCTGTAGTGTTGAATTAATGACGATCATGACATCAACTGCATGTTTGATCAGTTGGTAAATGCGGCAATTTTGCACCAAACGTTAAGAGAGAAACGTGTATAATGACTATATATATTGAGATAAGGGTAGCAGGCTATTCTATAATTATTATTTATTTATTAAAAAAAGACAACTCCCACACTAGGCATAAATCCTGTGTCGCGGGGGACTTTCCTTAGTGACACGCATCTAAGGTTATCTTTAAGGTCTTCGGAAATTTTGTTCGAAAGTTAATGGTACCTAGCCACACTACCATATTCTATGACAAATCTTTCACTGTGCACGCTGTCAGATGGAGTATGGAACGCCTTGCCGATATCCTACCTGACATCATGTAAAAATATGGTCAAAGATCACTACCTAGGTTTATAAATACTGTTTACTTGCTATAGCTGTGCATGACTATATAATTTCGTGGTTATTAATATATATTGTATATTGTTTATAATATTGTGTATCTATGAATGTATGCATGCATGCCTGTATTCGTTTATTTAGATTAACACTACTGTAGCTTCACTACACCTAGACTATCCATTGTTTCTTCTGATCTACTGTCGATCGATCCAGAGGTAGTATGTATGTATGGTATGATTGCTATTAGCACAAGACTGCCCGCCCCCATTGAACACAACCGTCTGTAATATTTATCTATCATATTGTAATTGGTGTACCATAAAGCATATTCTATTCCGGCTTTTTGAGTTTTTGAAGTATACACAAACCAACTTAATTTTTTTTTATATACAGGGTTACTGGTAAAATCGACCTACATACTTTAATGCGCTCTAGTAGCCATCATTACTAATAGGTTAAACTATGAAATACCATATCCCAAACCTAACCATATTTTAATTATTACAATTATTACGATTTTTTACAAAAAATGCCGAAATTTGCGTAATACATTTTTTAAATTTATTCTCTCCTTTATGTCTTTTTTTTAACTGTTTTTGTATCGTTGATACATTATTTTACGATTTTCATTATCAAAATTGTATTACCTTAACAAACTGAGCCGAAGTAGACGGTTAATAATAGCATAAGGAAATAATTTTATATTTTCTTTTTCTTTGACAAATATTTAAAAAATAATCTATGACAGTTAAGTTGCAAATGTGTTAAAAAACATAAACGTATTGTCAGCTATCTGTGGCTTGTATTTTTGGACTGTTTTCTTTTCTATTCGTGACTAACCATTGCTAACTGGTCTTTGATTTTTGCTTCTGGACTGTTGAAGATGATGACCTAAACGAAGGAAGAATATGCTAATATTCTGATTTGTTACGGATACTGCCAATGCGTATCCGCAGGAGCTCATGGATGTAGCACACGTACTCGTATATCCTGGCCGTCGAGTGCCTGGTGTCATAGATAAATAGATGTAGGTGATACAAAGTTCACCGGGTCTTTTAGTATTTGATAAAGATGTGATGCCTAACAGCGTCGCGGCAGATACAATTCTAGAAACAGGTTACGTTTTTTATTGAAAATGTACATGTTAGTGTACATTTTCAATAAAAAATGTTGGCACTTTAAAATATGCTGTGGTTTACTATCACTTTCAATAAAGATATTATAGTAAATACTTACAAATGTACATAACGTTTACCTCCAATTTTACACAAGCCCTAAAACAATTTATTATAAATAAATAGACTATTTAATTTTCATTTCACTTTTTATTAAGATCAATCAATTAGTCAAGCATCACAATGGGTGTTAAAATCTTAAAGAAGCAGATATGATTCAGACATTATAACCAAGATTGTTTTATCAAGTCAGCTCCCTTTTCACCAATCATAATGGATGGTGCATTAGTGTTCCCACTGATAATGCTGGGCATGATACTAGCATCAATTACTCTTAGACCCGTCACTTTCCGAACCCTAAGCTCATTGTCTACCACCGCTGTCGGGTCGTTTTCTGGGCCCATTTTAACGGTACTGGTTGGGTGGTATAGTGAAAACGTCAACTCCCTTATTATGCATTCCAAATGTTCGTCGCTGGCTTTTACATATTCCTTACATGCTTCTAATTCAACCCACTCTATTTCAAATCCAGCGTTCAGGAAAGATTTGCTTTTGCCTAGGTTTAAAGAATATTGTTTCATCGAACTTATAATTCGTTCCATGTCTTCAGGGTCTTCAAAATAATTTGCGAATATTAAAGGTTTGTCAAAAGGGTTTTTGCTCGCTAAAGTTATGTTACCTTTAGATTTTGGATGCAAAAGTACTGAATACGATGTAATAACAGTTTTTTCTTTGTTGATTTTAAGGAATTTTTCGTGAAACTCTTCAGATAATCCATGCTTGTAGTAAATATCTACCAAATCAGAAGAGCTTGGCGGTAAAACTAAATGATGAAACTGTATGTCGGGTACAGATGATGTAGGATCAGTAGTATTTATAAAAGTAATTACTCTATTTGACCTTGTATCTTTAAATAAACCAGAGCCTTTTAGCATATAATCTGCAAGTGACTGAGTCACAGCAGACAGAGTTATTGAGTTTTCAACGTCTAGCTTTGAATAAAATATGGGTGCGTAGGCATGATCCTGTAAGTTTTTACCAACGGGTAAATCAGCTATCACATCAATACCCATTTCTTCTAAATGTTCTTTGGGGCCCAAACCTGACAGCATTAGAAGTTGTGGGGATTTAACAGCACCGCATGATGTAATTACCTCTTTTTTAGCATTGACTGTTATATTTTTCCCATCTTTATTAATTAGGACGCCACTAACTGAATTTGTCCCAGGTGTAAATAAAATTTGAATTGCATAGGCATGTTGCATCACATGAAGATTTTTTCTTTGTCTGATTGGACTTAAGTATGCCCTAGCTGTACTGACTCTATAATTACCTTTAATATTATTTGCCGTCACGGTTGTTCCCATTTGATCCGCGCCATTAATTTCATTTAAATGCTTTATACCTAGTTCTGTTGCAGCTTGAATTATTATATCTTCCTCAGGTGTTGGCTCTGTTTCTTGTACAATATTAACAGGTCCGTTACGGCCATGGTATTTTTGATTCTCTTCAGTTATATCTCCAGTGAAATTTTCAATCTTAATGAAATATGGTAGAACTTCTTCAAAACTCCAACCACTGTTACCACTAGCTGCCCATCCATCGTAATCAGCTTTATTACCCCTAACATAGTACATACCGTTAATGCTGCTGCTACCTCCCATGACTTTTCCTTGTGGCCAGGCACATCCTTTTCTTTTATAGCTTCTACAGGCGCCTTCTTGAGGTTGACTGTAATGGTCCCAGTCTACTGAGGTGCCCAAGTTACTATAGAATAATGGTGGTATCTGAAATAATTTACTGATGTGTTTACAATTAAAGTTAGATTTAGATACAGAAAGTCAGTCAGTGTGATATTTTGTACCCAGTTTACTAAAAAAAAAGTGAAACTTATCCATAAAAATAAATAAAATTGAAGTGTCTGTTTGTAATATCAAAATAATAGGTTATTTTCATGCTCACACGGTTATTTGCACGATACCTATGCCTAAAAACCAGTTTAAATATTTTTTGTCTGTTTGTCTGTTTGATCTTCAAAACGGATGGACCGATTTTGATAATATTTTACTACTAGGTAGCTGTCTATATAAGGAGTAACTTAAGCTATAAAATTTTGCTCGGTCCGTTAATGGCACTAAGGCAGCGCTTTTCAAACTCCACGCGAACGCAGTCGCGGGCACCAGCTAGTTTATCATATATCTCTAGGTTAATCACTGTCGTGCTTAATTTTTTTATATTAGAAATCTAACATGTTAACAATTTTGTCATCAATAATAATTATGCATAGGAAAAGAGGAATCATCTAGTCATAGGTCACAAAATGCCGAATGAAGACTGTGAATGTGCTAAAAGACCGTAAGCGGTTTCACCCCCAGAAGGACGCATGACTTGAGATAGATAACTGACATAGATTAGATGTGGAAAGCGCAGGCCCGAGTGCTAGGGATGGTGGGAGAAGCATCATTCGAGAGCATTCTTCTATAAATAAATTCAGTCATAAAGAAGCCTATACAAGACATTGTATTATACTGCATTTACGTTTGTTGAGACTATGCGCCCTAGTCATACCTCAGTACTTAGTTTTGGGTTTCCTCCGGCTTCCACAAGTAAAACTTTCCATTCTGGGTTTTCACTGAGTCTATTAGCTACAACTGCACCCGCCGCTCCAGCCCCTAATACTATAAAGTCATAGTTTGGATCTGAAATAAGAATTATTTGCGACTAGTTTTTACACGAGTGTCTAAAAAAGGAGTAATATATTTTCAGGGCTTAAATATAGATATTACTTTATAAGATTGCCTTTTATCCATACGTTTCGCTGTGGCACATTGTTGCCATGGTTGCATTGATAAGAAATGAGGAACAAAAGTAAAAAAAAACTAAAAACCATCTTTTATGTTATGTGATAGCGCTAACACAGTCACACAGTCACTGTGACTTCGGCGGCGTCGGCGCTTAGGTACTGTGTGATTTGGTTGATTTTTTTTCTTGTTTGTCTGTTTCTTTTGCTTTCCTAATCCATTTGCTTACAGCAACTTAGTTTGTAACTAAACTGAAACTGGTAATTGGCTCTCAAGTGATTAATTCTGTCATTATTACTGATGTTTCTAGCTGTACGTTTTCCATGTATGAATTAAATAAATATATCGTGTCACAATTTGAGCTCAATTGGTGCAGAACTTTTTTAACTTTTGAAGCGTACACACACCAACCTTACATTTGGTCTGGTTGTTTATATGTATAATATCTATCATCAGTTGTCTAGTACCCATAGTACAAGCTGTGCTTAGTTTGGGACTAGATGCCGTTGTGTGAATGTGGTAGTATATTATTATTATTTATAAATACAGATTATTCGTAGACAATTCTTGGCATCCCTATTTAAAGGAATTTCGATTTGATCGGATTGGAATATTTATATTATTTGTAGAAATCGATCAGAGAGCCAAAGTTTTTCTAAATTTTTCTGTTTTTTTTTTATCTGTATAACAATATAGTTGGAAACTGTGTAAAAACATCGGCATAAAATTGTTAAATTTTACTTTTATGTAAGTTAATTGGCCTCCTTATATACTGGCTTCTATTTGCCCTTTGAGCATGTATATAAAGTATATGTATTTATATGTATTACCTTACCAGATTTCTACACCACCCAAAGGTTGGCTGGTAGAGAATGCCCAGGGCATTTAGTCCGCTGATGTACACAAGTGCGTAAAGTTGTAAATAAATAATAAATAAATATCACTTTATGAAATGAAAGGAGATTTCATTAAATCTCCTTTCTAAGGAGAGGCCTATGTCCAGCAGTAGACTATTAAAGGCTGTTGATGATGATTAAAAAATGATAGTTATTTTATCATGTTGTGTGCAACAGAAAAAAAGTTAGTGTAACGTAGAATCTATATAGTAGCTACATCTACCTTTAAGAACTTCCTCTGTGACGTCAGCTGGCCAAAGATGATCCCCTACAAGTGCACATTGCGCTGCAAAGAAACTTTGCAGAGTTAGAGCAAAAAGAGACCCTGCCGTCTGGTAACTGTCCACTATGTTGGGGATAACCGTCTGGTCACACGCCCACGACATCTTTTTCTAGAAACAAATATTTATTTATTATGACCAATGTTACCTGATAACTTTTGCTTAATTTTTATATATAAAATTATATACTCCTCCTAAACGACTGGACCGATTTGGATGCAATTTTATGTATATATTTCAATGGGTTCCTAGTTAGTTTGAAAACACAATTGGATCCGGTAGGTGGCGCTGCTGCCGGTATGTCACTAAATTTGTCACTTAATTTATTAATTCTAAGGCGGTACGAAGTTCGATGGGTCAGCTAATATACACCTATTAAGTAACTATAATCATTACATCATCATCATCAACAGCCTTTAGTAGTCCACTGCTCGACATCGCTCCTTAGAAAGGAGGTTTTGGCGCACTATACCACGCTGGCCAGATGGGTTGGTATAGGGTTTGTTTCAAATTTTCTTTCTCTTTGCAATGCTGTTGTCCTGCGTAGTTTGCTCCCTTAGTCGGCTCTTACGACACCCACGGGATAAATAGGTGTAGCGACACTCCGTATTCTTAATCTGTCACACGGACACGGACAATCATTACATGAATGGTATATTCCACGGGAGTGCTATGCTATGTAAATACATGCCAGTTTGACCAGAGAAATACCACGGCCTCACAGAAAACGGGCTTTACGCAATTCTTTTGCTGCATTTCACTGAGAGAGTGAGGTAATGAATCTTAAACCTCCCTTCCCTTTCCCTGGATGCCAGGTAGGGGGACTCGAAGGGCGACAACGTCCTTGTGACTCTTGAGTTGCACATGGGCAAACGGTAGTCGGTAGTCACTTAAGTACCAAACATCGGGTGACCCATCTGCTCGTTTGGTCACCTTTTTTTTATTTATTTTTTCTTGGAAAATTCCTTCGGATCTTCGGCTCCACGGGGACAAACACCACATATTCCTAGCAATAACTAGCAATATGTGGTTTTCACTAAAACGACCCCGACGGCCGATCTTTGGCACCCTACTACGAGGAGGACGCGGACCATATTATTTCAGGTCCCCCCGGATCGAAGTCGCGTCTAGTAAGCCCCGGGAAAGCCTCGGGCTATCCCCACTGTGCTATAAAAACCAGTTGATTTGAAATATCACTTGAAAAATATATTAGAGTAAACTTGAAACGTGAAAAATATATAGAGGACAAACGAGAGATTGGTCAGGTCTACCGACTAAAGTTTCATTAAACAATAAATTTTTCAATATATTTATCTTTAAAATTTATAAAAAAAGATTTTTACTCACATGTTTTGATGTGACTTTCTAAGGGTAAATGTTAGGGTGTTGTTAAATATAAAACAGTGGCCGACGGGTTTTAGCAATGAACAACGATCTATTCGTCTCTGCCGGTCTATATATATATTCTTGCACCCTGAATATATTGTACACTCAGAGATCATTTTGTTTGTTCAAATGACAATACTGTTGTTGTTTCAAGTGGTGTTTTAAATTGACATAAATTAAGAAAAAAGAAAAGAATAATTTTATTAATTAATTAATTTACTTTACTGTAAGTAAGTTACTTCTTTTATCACATCTTATTTATAACATTACATGTAATTTCAAACTTTCAAGGAAATAACGTACTTACAGCGTACTTACAACAACACGTACCAGCCTGTGCAACCAGGTCTAAACGCTTTCATAGGCATGTATATCATTGATTGCATTAATTACCAAACTAATTATATATTATTTAACGGAAAACTTTAAAAGGTAGTAGAAGGATACTGTGCATATACCTTTTACATTACTTAATCAGCCTTTTATACAGTTGTACAAACAGATACTATGGGTTTTGTCTTTAAAAGTATATAACATTTATCTTTTTGTATACAGGGTGTAAGGGACGTCGAAACAAATACTGAAATAGTGTATTCAAGCCATCATTTTGAGTAAAAAATTATTGAAATTTTCCGCAGGAAAATCATCATTTTTTTTACATATATTTCAATTTTTTTGGTTAAAAATGCTGAAAGTGATATCACAATGAGTAAACAGAACATTACCGAAAACAATTTCATAAATCGTCGCTCGGGGCCTCCCCTTTTTTTTTTTTTTTTTTCCGTGCGGAAATCCCCTCCGATACCACCTGTCGGTGGCATGTCGGACTCGAACCGACTAAAACCGCACGCCGTCTCGGGTATTGATAGCCGGGGAACCAGGTATACCCTAGAAAGGAAGTCCCTGGTGCCCCGACATACCTCGGGTCATCTACAGACGAGTAGACGACCCGACCCCCGTCGGGGCCTCCCCCTGGTCGCCAACTTGTGTTAGTGTGCGTACATTGTATGCACAGAATACAAATGTTGAAAATTCCAATGATTTTCGACCCAGAATGGTGGTCTGAATACACTATTTCAGTATTCGTTGCTACGTCCCTTACGCCCTGTATAGTATTCGTATATTCATTAAATTAATGTCATTAATACATCTGTAAATACATCTGAATAGTAGCAGTAATTCCATCTGTAATGATCTATAAATACATCTGTACTCACATGCATGACTAGCCTTTTTGTTACTAGGTAACTTTGAATGATAAGTCAAAATAAATTGATGTCCTATTTTAATAAGCAAACAGTATAGAATTGAGTCAAGAACACAAAATACGTAGGTACTGATTTTGTGTTCTAAATATTTTTGCATTACGTGAGCAAAGTTTACAAACACTTATGAAAATGACGAAGTAGGTCCTTAGCCGGACACTTTGTTGAGCTTTGTTGTGCAGCTCGTTTTTATATTCATAAATGACACCCAACGTTTGTGGCGCCACAGTCGTTCTCTTACGGTGTGTAGCGTGTGGTGTTAAGTACACCTTTTTTTTTTTTCCGTGCGGAAATTCCCTCGGATGCCACCTGTCGGTGGCATGTCGGACTCGAACCGACTAAAACCGCACGCCGTCTCGGGTACTAATAGCCGGGGAACCAGGTATACCCTAGAAAGGAAGTCCATGGTGCCCCGACATACCTCATCTGGGCCTGATCCTCGACGGGAGGTGGCTCTTCGACGAGCACTTCCGACAGCTTGCTCCAAAGCTGGTCGGCGCTGCGTCTGCCCTAGGGCGACTTTTGCCCGACGAGTAGACGACCCCCCCCCCCCCCCCCCGTGTGGGAACCCCATGTTCCCTGTGCTTCCTAGAAGCGAGCGCGCTTCGCAACGCCACCCCGGCCTGCTTCTGCTAGGGTGACAGATGGCCTCACCTGTCACCCCCAGGCCTGCGCTTATGGAGGACGGAGGTCGTTCCGCGACCTCCGGCGCCTGAGTCGCCTGCGGTACCTGGCCCGTTCCCGGGCCTGGCGGGCCGGGAGAGTCCTAAACTTCTCCCGGTCCCGCTCCGCCGTCTCCTTCGCGAGCATAACTTGCTCGCAGAAGGAGACGGCAGAGTTCCACGCACTCTCGCTCCGCACGATAGCCGCAATCAGATATCCGCAAATCGATAGCGAGAGAACTCCCACTCCGATGGCCTCAACTCAACCAGGTCCCACGGTGGAGTTCCGGCCAGGAGACTCGCCGCCTCAAAGGAGATCGTGTGTTAAGTACACCTATAATTTTGGAACCTATTTTGACTTCTTTCACAATGGACGTCATTAAGAATGTCGACATGGATGGATGGATCCCAATAGGGTGTGAGATAAAGGTTGTATCTTGAAACTTATATGCATACATAGTAATTCTGTTTCGAATAACAATCACTGCCCTGCTTTATATAAAGTGCCAGACAGGTACTAATTAATAATTAGTTCCAGCTAGTCATTTATTGTCAACATAAATAAAAATATATATAAATATAATGGCAACTTATTTGTCTTTATCAATTCTGTTATTGATATAGAATATCAAATCTTCCCTTTTTAATGGGTCATATAGGGACCAAGTCCTTACTTGGTCGGTTCATTTTGTTACTCACTCGCACTCGTTGCAATTAGTATATTATATATCTGATAGAAATAAATTGCTTATTCTGATAGCTATTAATTTGGACTGTTTAATTTCTACTTATTTCATTGATATAGAGTATAAAATCTTCCTTTTTTAAATCGGTCAAATAGGTACCAAGTATTTACTTGGATCGGTTAATTGTGTTACTCACTCGCTCGTTGCAATTATTAAATTATATATTGATAGAAATAAATGCTAATTCCGATAGCTATTAATTTGAACTGTTTAATTTCTACTTATTTCATTGATATAGAGTATAAAATCTTCCTTTTTTAAATCGGTCAAATAGGTACCAAGTCTTTACTTGGATCGGTTAATTGTGTTACTCACTCGCTCGTTGCAATTATTAAATTATATATTGATAGAAATAAATGCTAATTCCGATAGCTATTAATTTGGACTGTTTAATTTCTACTTATTTCATTGATATAGAGTATAAAATCTTCCTTTTTTAAATCGGTCTTATAGGTACCAAGTCTTTACTTGAATCGGTTAATTGTGTTACTCACTCGCTCGTTGCAATTATTAAATTATATATTGATAGAAATAAATGCTAATTCCGATAGCTATTAATTTGAACTGTGTAATTTCTACTTATATATATATATTTCTATGTACATAAGGTTTTGCTTTTAACGATTTTCTCCTCTATTGAATCCCAAGATCCCAAGGTTCGCTGGTATAAAACTCAGGTTTTGGTTAAACTCGCCTTTGTATATTGTTTTCTTTTGACCAAATTATTTATTGTACAATAAATAATAAATGGAATTCAACGAAAGTTTATAAGGTACTTGTTGTATATTAGTAAGTTGTACGTATTTTTTAAATATCGTTAAAAAGTATAGACGAATGGGGATTGTTCAGTAGAGAATATCAAGTTACTGGATCTAGAATCATTCTCACCCCACTCCAACAGCTCTGCTAGTGAGTCTTATTCCTCGATACATCTTCTTTTACTGAATAGAATTTATTTGTAATATATACACACCAGAAGACTTCGGTATTAAAGCCACGAAAACGTGTATGCCAGGGTCAAAAATCAAATAATTAGAGTCAAAGATTAATTGTAGATCTATGTTTCATAGTTGTAATGTGGGTTATTAATGAATACACATATTGAACATTCAAGTATTTATTTCCGACTGCACATACAATAAGATTTACCCGATACCCACGTTCATACATATGTACGGTATTTAAGACTTATAGCTACTTAATACAAATTACCCTTTTTTTTTTTTCGTGCGGAAATCCCCTCGGATACCACCTATCGGTGGCATGTCGGACTCGAACCGACTAAAACCGCACGCCGTCCCGGGTACGAATAGCCGGGGAACCAGGTATACCCTAGAAAGGAAGTCCCTGGTGCCCCGACATACCTCGGGCCATCTACAACAACAGGTAGACGACCCCCTCCGTGTGGGAACCCCATGTTCCCTCTGCTCCCTGGAAGCGAGCGCGCTTCGCAACGCGCTCGCCGCCACCCCGGCCTGCTTCTGCTAGGGTGACAGATGGCCTCACCTGTCACCCCCAGGCCTGCGCTTATGGAGGACGGAGGTCGTTCTGCGACCTCCGGCGAATACAAATTACCCTACATTACAATGGTCACTTAAAGTTTACATGTCATAATAAACACAAGGAATATGTTAAACCAACCTGGTTTGTGATATTATTTTGAATACTATAGTCGCCGTTTAGTGCCCGCCGCGGCTGTGAGTTGCAGGCAGCCGCCGCGTATGGCACTATAGGTCAGCGGACTGGGATGAGATATACTCTTTACTTGCATCCTACCCATGTCGTAGCCGATTCACTCCCATCTATGGCAGATCCAAGCCCTTGTTCGACAGATCCTGCAAAACGGCTTCCCGCCGAATACAGGAATGTTATCAAGCATGGGCAAATGCAGCGACGGTAGGTGATACAAATCGTCATGGTACACGCTAAAAATACTACAATTTTGCCTCCAAATCCCTCAAAAGAGTCATTTATAGAGCGAAATTGGAGCATATCAGCCGGACTGGTGAGGCTTCATTCTCGTGCATACTAGTCTCCTGTCGAGGCTATCCAGGACAATTTCTATAGTCAATCTATTCCACCCCTGCGGATGGGAGATAATTTGTTGGCCCATGATGCCCAGTAGAAGGCCGATCTCCTAGGCGAACTCTTTGCATCCAACTCGACTTTGGGACCATACTGAACGGAACGGAATTAGCGTTTGTGCACCCGATCCCTAAAAAAGGTGCTAGCTCTGATCAGTCCAACTACAGGCTTATAGCCATAACCCCCTTGTTCTTTAAGATTATGGAATCCGCAACTTAACAAAATCAACTGCCAGCTCCTTCGGTACTTAGAAAATCAACAGCTATCGACGGTGCATGCTCCGACTTTTAATCTGTAAATACTGGTGTCCCGCAAGGCTATGTGCTATCACCCACACTGCTTCTTCTGCATGGTGGTAAAACTAGTAGCATCTATTGCTATGCAATTAGTAGTTGCAAACTAGTAGCATTTATTGGTATGCAGATGATAGTACGGGAACTGCATTTCATACTTGCCGCTCCAATAAATAACCTGGACAAAATCATCGAAAGTCTTAACAATCTCGGGTCTGAAAATTAAACTCCCTTGCGGAGATTTCAGATTGGGTCGACTGAATTTAGCCCATTTTAACCAAAAAAAGACATAGGTTTGTCGTATCACCTCAATTTGAGAGCACCTCTCTAAGTGCCTCAGCTAATCCTAGGCACAGACATTTCGAGCGAAGTCCAGTTTCGGGGGCATTTAGAGGGTAAGGTCAAATATAATATAATGAACGTAATATAATGCTGAATATCTTGCAGGTGATATCCGGGGCGGTATACTATGGGGATCTTGTGTCAACTAGGGTGAATTTCCGTGCGTTTAGGCGATTCTGCCATACATATTATAGAAATAAAATATAGCTCACCTAAGACCGAAAGATTTTGTGGCCGTGGTGCTGTTAAAAAGGCCCTGTTTAAAAGGGTGTATGCCTATTTCACTTCATTTTATCTCCCGCTTTGCTAAGGAGGGAAGTGGATTTACTGTATTCCCAACTCCTCCAATTTTCTTCTGATTAATTTCGTTGCGGGTTCCAAGACAGTTTAATTTCTTCCTGGGACTGCCCGAGTGTCATGACTCGGTGTGTTCGTGGGTCACTGCTGTGGATCCTGGTGTACTGGAGTTACAGTGGTGGGCGTGTGGGTGGGATTAGTCTACAAGGCGCAAGTCCGGCTACATAAGCAATACTGTTCTCATCTCTATGCCCCCTGCACCACAGTACCAGCTTCTCCCTCTAGACCGCATCCAACGAAGAGCGACTCGAATCGTCGATAGCCAAAAGATCTTCGATCGGCTCGATCCCTTGGCGTTACGTAGAGATGTATCTTTACTCTGCATTCTTTATCGCTTGTATCATGGAGAGTGCTCCGAGGAATTGTTCGTACTAATACCAGCTGCAATTACCGTCATCGTTCCACACGTCAGAATCATCCCCATTATTTGGATAATTGGCACTCCACCACTGTGCGCTTTTCAAGACACTTTTTGATTCACACAACCAATCTATGAAAAAAATTATCGTCTGCAGTATTCCCGGACCAATACGACCTTCAAACTTTCAAGAAAGGAGCGTCCTTCCTTAAAGGCCGACAACGCGCTTTTGACTTCTGGTTGCTGGCGGTCATGGGCGGCGGTAGTCACTTTCCATCAGGTAACCAATCTGCTCGGTGACCCCCTCTTCCACGAAATAAAATAAAAATTAGTAAACTATCAAGACAAAAGATTCAAGAGTACTTACACCATCATGCTTTTTAATGTATATAATAGTATATAATATATGTACATAATGGAATATTAAAATTTATGATAATATTTTGGATTCATTTTGAATGTAACAAGGAAAAAGGTCTTAGATTGGTGATAGAATAGACCTTTTTAAGAAAATAGACCAGAATTCAGGTTCTATACTTTGCATGTACATGGATAATATATTACAACAAAAGTTACTACAACATACATACATACTTGCTTTATTTCACTCTCTCTTACTTTCTAGCCATTTTCAACCGCTGAGGTGTAGGCCTCTTTCAGTTTATGCTATTTACACATGTCATATTATATCAACAATTCTTCGCTTCTTAGAGTTCTGTGTTCTTGTTTAACCAAAAATGTTTTATCATGTCGGCTCCTTTTTCACCAATCATCATAGATGCTGCATTCGTGTTTCCTCTCACGATATTTGGCATAATACTAGCATCAATCACTCTTAGACCATTCACTTTGCGTACCTTGAGCTCTGGGTCTACCACTGACATCACATCGTTTTCAGGACCCATTTTCACGGTACTAGTTGGATGATATAAAGAGAAAGTTAACTCTCTTGCTATGCATTCCAAATGTTCATCGCTAGCCTTTTCAAAATCTTTACATGCATCTAGCTCGACCCAATCTAGATTCAATCCTGCACTCTTAAAAGTTTTTGTGTCACCCAACTTTAACGAATGTTGCTTCATCGCTCTTACCATACATGCCAGATCTTCACGGTTTTCGAAGTAGTTTGCATATATAAGTGGTTTGTCAAAAGGATTTTTACTCGCTAGAAGAATTTTACCTTTGGATTTAGGATATAATACCGCGGAATAGGCTGCAATGAATAGTTTGTCCTCATTCATTTTTAAAAACTTTTGATGAAACTCTTCTCCTAATCCATGCTTGCCGTAAATATCAGTGATGTTGGAAGCATCAGGAGGCAAAACTAAATAGTGGAACTGAATGTCAGGGGAAGACGATTTAGCATCCGTAGTATTTATAAAGCTGATTACTCTGTTCGGACTAGTATCTTTCAGTGGTCCAGAGCCTTCCAAAATATATTTTACAAATGCGTCGAAAAAATTAGCCAGAGTCGTCGTATCTTTATCAAATGGCATAGAGTAAAATATGGGTGCATATATATGATCCTGTAAGTTCTCACCAACCGATAAGTCTGCTATTACAGTGACACCCACATCTTCTAAATGTTTTTTTGGACCTATACCAGACAACATTAATAGTTGCGGAGAGTTGACTGCACCTCCTGATAAAATGATCTCTTTCTTAGCATTAACTGTAATATCTTTTCCATCTTTATTAACAAGGATGCCATTTACTGTATTTGTCCCCGGAATAAATAAAATCTGTGTCGCATGCGTGTGCTTCATAACATGAAGATTTTTTCTCTCTTTAATGGGGCTTAGGTACGCTCTAGCTGTGCTCACTCTAAAATTATTTTTGATATTGGTGTGGGACACCAGAATACCCATTTGGTTGTCACCATTAATATCTGTTACATTCTTAATACCAAGTTCCACAGCAGCTTGAATGATGAGGTTTTCCAAAGGATTTGGCTTACCTTGCACAACATAAAGAGGTCCATTTTGGTTGTGATATTTTTCGTTTTCATGTGTAACATCTCCATTAAAGTTTTCAATTTTTAAGAAGTAAGGTAATACGTCTTCATAACTCCAGCCATTGTTACCACTAGCCGCCCATTCGTCGTAATCAGCTCTATTACCTCTCACGTAGAACATACCGTTAATGCTACTGCTACCTCCTAGTAGTTTTCCCCGTGGCCAAGCACATTCTTTCTTTTTATAACCTCTACAGGCACCTTTTTGAGGTTGACTGTGATAATCCCAGTCCACTGAGGTACCCATGTTGGAGAAGAAAAGTTGCGGCATCTGTAACACATAATTAAAAAATACATCTAGGGATTTTTATAACGCGTTTTAGTATTATAATATATATTTTTTGTGGTATACGGGGCAAATGGGCAGACAGGTAACCTGACGGTAAGTGACTACCGTCACTGATAATAAACGCTCGCAACTCAAACTAGTCACAAGTGTGCCGCAAGATCAAAAGCACCAAAAGATATTTCACTCGAGTCGAGCCATCGAGCGTCGAAGCATCTTCACGGTTGTTATTTTATTCGTTTTCTTTCTAATTTTTTAACTAAACATCAGCATTAGGTAAATTATCTGTAAGTGTTTGACACACTGTTGCACTATTTAAATGTAAAAATGAATTGTTGTGATCCAAATGATTTAATGTAAAAAAGTCCAAACTGTCAAATTAAAGGATACACTCCTATTGAACAATATCTTACCTCGGTACCTATATTTGGATTACCTCCAGCTTCCACCAGCAAAACTTTCCATTCCGGGTTTTCACTGAGTCTGTTCGCCACAACTGATCCCGCGGATCCAGCGCCTACCACTATAAAGTCGTAATTAGGATCTGAAATGATGCGAACATTCATGATTAGTATTTATTTTATTTCTTTACGTCAATATTATGTCAATATATGACCTATGTGAATTGGAGGTGATGCATTAATATGCAATGGCAAGTGATTTGTTTCTTTTCCAATAAAAAAATTCTTCATGACCTAGCTTTTACTGGATCCCTCCTATATAGGCAAAGTATGAAATTTTCTTTCTAAGGAGAGGCCTATGTCCAGCGGTGGACTGTTAAAGGTTGTTGATGATGGAACACAGTGGGCTTTAAGCCGGTTCTACCAAAAACAGAAGTGGTTGTAACGGCCCTTGGAGATTACGGTATAAAAGGGCAAACGCGCACAATTTTTACTTGCTCTCGTCTTTCTAACCGCTAGCCAATTCAGCAGATTAATTTGTAAACTATGGACCAAGTATTAGAAACTTACTCTAATTTTTTCAATTCTATGATTAGTTCACTGATTAAATATTCTTAAAACACCCCTACTACCCCGGCCTTAATGAAAAATTTCACAAGTACAGTACAGCTTACGATTTGCAGCTAAAATTTCGGATTAAAAAAATAAAAACAAACATAAACGCCTGATAATATTATAATGTTGCAATTGCTGCACAATCGTATTGTAATCAATGAAGGAACTTGGATACAATTAATTTATCTTGGTTTATAGCGTCGATTATTGTAGTCAAGAAAAGCAATATTCTGTAAAAGTTGATGAGCTGATGAGATTATGTCTCTAAGGATAAGTCTCAGGGTATATTAAGAGATAAAAAAAAAAATTTAGTATAATTTATTATGTTATAATTTTGAAGTGGGTTACACTATCTTTAAAAGACAATTATTAAAAAAGAAGTCTAACTAGTGATAGAGTTCGCTTGCTCCAGATTACTTAATATTCATTCCAAAAAAGAAAATGCCCTACATCACCATCACAAACAACACAATAGGAACACCACTATTCTATAGCAATAAATTTGGCCGGTTATTTTGTGACCGACCTGATGACTTGATCTTTGGATCCTTGGGAATGTAATCATTGTGAGACGAGGCCAAAAAGCAACTAGAGTAAGAGAAACGATTAGGGACGTGGCGCTGGATTAAGGAATACTGCTTGGCTCGGAAGAGGAAATGAGTCTGAGATTGCAAGAAAGATTATTATTGTAGGAGCTATTCTTTTTTAAACTTCATTATAGCTTCTATAATGAAGTTTAAAAAAAACATCTTTTATAAATTGGTTATTTTGTTGTGTTTCAAAGATTTAAATTTAAATTTAGTCATTAAGAATTGTATATCTTGCGACAAAATAAAATAGCTATAAAACTCTTTGCTTTTACGGATAAGGTTATTAAAATGGTGTGAGTTACGCCTATACAAAGTTGTTTCGTCTTGAAAAGTATGTAACGTCAAACGGTACCTTTTAGATAAGATGGACTATAACTATAACAGAACTTCAAATAGGATAGGATGAGTAATGAATAGACACCGCTCTTATTTTTATATACTAACTGATCCCCACCCTACTGGGGCAATTGATAGTGTGGTTTAGTATGATAGGCTTTGGTAATTCTAATTTTAGAACTTATACATATAGACATCACTCACCATACCTTCTCTATTCTATTTTTAAACACATCATCATCATGAAATTATAACCATACTTATTATTAGGTCCTTACATATGAAATTAGCGTTTTGTCGTACTGACCACTTTGATCTGAAATACATATCTCCTCTTTGGTTAAGAGTTCCAAATTCAAATTTATAAATTCATTTACCTCTTACATTTGAGTTTTAATAACAGTCATTCCTTTGTTTTTTCCTCATTATTTTTTTCTTTGGCGTCGTTTATTACCGTACAATGGAAAACATGAAATATCGGTATATACTCGTAAGAGTACGAGTTCCACCGTGGCACCAGTGCTGTAGAAACAGCTCAGAAGATTAATGATGTGTATGGCGCTGGTGTCGCAAAAGAAAGCACGGTACGTTTTTGGTTTCAACGTTTTCGTTCTGAAAATTTCGACCTTCAGAACCAATCCCGTGGACGGCCGGAGACCAAAGTGGAAAATGAAGAATTAAAGGGTATTGTGGAAATGGATCCCTCACAAAGCACTTCAGAGATAGCTGCAGGCTTCGGGGTAAGTGATAAAACTATATTAATCCACTTGAAGCAAATCGGGAAAGTAAAAAAACTTGAACGATGGGTACCTCATGAATTGAGTGAATCGAACTTGCAACGAAACATTACTTGTGGTGAAAAGTGGATACTGTACGATAATCGGAAGCCCGGAGTCCCACCCAAATCCTGCCCTAAACGAAAATTGACTCAGAAAAAGTTACTTGTGAGTGTTTGGTGAACTAGCGCCGGTGTCGTACTTTACAGCTTTCTAAAATCTAGCCAAACGATTACGCCAGAAATCTATTGTCAGCAACTACAAACCATGAAGGAAGAACTAGCTGCTAAACAACTGAGATTGGAGACCACACACTGCACAATAAAAGTTAGAGGAGCTACAATTGGAATGTCTGCGACTTCCACCGTACTCCCCGGACCTTGCTCCAACAGATTACAATTTTTTCCGGAATTTGGACAACTTCTTACAGGAAAAAAAATCAACTCCGATGCGGCAGTCCAAACCGCCTTCAAAGAGTTTATTGGTTCTCGTCTCCATGTTTTTTTTTAGTAAAGGGATCAATGAATTACATATGAGATGGCAAAAGTGCATAGATAACAACGGTGCATACTTTGATTAATTAAATATATTTTATAAAAAAACATTGAAAAAAAATCCACCCGTACAAAACGCCAATTTCATATGTAAAGACCTAATATTTCAATTTATACAAAATAAGTACTAGATGTATTCGTTTCTGCGCTCTTTAACTAATAACTTCTTAGTAGACGATAAGCAGGCGTTTCACTGTATGACAGATATTTCTCTACTTTGAATTCATCATTCATTCATTAATGAGCGTGAAAGATTTACCTACCATCAAGAACAGCTTTCGTGGCATCATCGGGCCAAAGATGGTCTCCAACGAGAGCACATTGTGCTGCTAAGAAACTTTGGAGGGTTTGTATGAAGAGAGGTCCGGTCGGCTGGTAACTATTCACTATGTTAGAGGTGAGCGCCTGGTCGCAAGCCCACGACATTTTAGAACTGGAATAGATTAATATAATGCATAATGAAAAATATTGGAGCGAAGTTTTAAATTTTTAACGATTATAATGTATAATATATGACTAGTATTTTTAACAGACATGCTTTCTTTATGTTTTTGTTATGGTATAAAAATAACTAAAAATTAACAAAAAAATATTTATTTTTCATCATCATCAGCCTACTGCCGTCTACTGCTAAACGAATGCCTCTCCCAAGAAGCGCCAACCATCCCGTCCTTGGGCAATCCGTATTCAGCCACTGCCAGCCATTTTCCTCAAGTCGTCGGTCCATTGTGCCGCAGGGCGCCTCACACTACGTTTGTCAAATCGCGGTCTCCACTCTAGCATTTGTCAGCTCCAGCGACCATTAGCAACCTGGAGACATGGTTCCACTTTAGCGGGATTCTCCGTGCGATGTCGGTTACTCTAGTTCTCTGTCGAATAGTTTTTATGCTTATACAACATATAATACTTACAAGTATGAAGTGACCACTAAGTAAATTGCGGTACTAGCAAAAATATAACCGTGGCTATTGGCCGTGTTTCGGCACATATCGTATAAATAGGCCAGGCTCGACCGGAGTCATATCACGACACCACCAAAAAACCGGTGTTAAACAATTCATTAGTTGCTTTTCACCAAATAATATTGTTTGAGAAAACAAGTTTAAGAAATTGAATGCCTTTGTGATAATGAATGAATGATACATCACGTGTTGGTTTTCTTTAGATACTTCTCGTATTATGATTATTAAAAAAACCACCATGATAAGTTATGTTATTAGATTCTATAATTACTTACATAATTAACAAGTATTATTAGAATTACACGAGGTAAAGGAACGAGAATGCTTACTTTCATTATATGGACTGTGCCCTGTTTCACATAATGTCTCCGAAGTGCACCCACCGAGTTGGTGTTCGGATACAGTTGATAAGTAAAGTAAATAAATCGTTAGTAAATAAATAGTAACTGCACCCGAGTACTGCGTACCCTCAATATGTATTTCATTACTGAGGATAACCCTCCATTTATTCCGTTTCGGAACTCTAGGTAGACAAGTATGAGATATTCCCGCTTTTGTTCCGTAGCTTTGCATACCTGCACCGTAAATCACTTTTCCTATTTGTTCTTATTGTTGCTTGTAAATGGCATCTAGATAATTAACATAATATGTATTTTGTAAATTTAGCCGTAAGCTCCCCAAATATAATAAAATAAAAAAATAAAATTATCTATAAATCTATACAAATAAAGAAAATTGAAGTGTCTTAAATATTACATATGGATATGTACAATGGGCGGCCTTATTGCTAATAGCAATCTCTTTCATGCAACCTTTGGATGGACAAATCGACAGTAGATGAAAATAAACAGTGGGTAGTCTAGGTGTATCGAAGCTAAAGTAGTGTAAAAATAAATATATAAATTATATAATTATACATACAATATAAATGTATAAACAATTTATATTGACAACCATGAAATCATTAGTCATGTACAGTTTTTGAAAGCAAAGAGTGCTCAGGGCATACTGAAAGTTTCTTGATTCTGATAAATAAATAAGACTGGATATAAGACGTTATAAGATTAGACGAAACTTTTATTGTTTTTCAAAGTATATTCCCTCGCAATTAATGTATTTTTGCATTTGCTGAAACCACTGTACAATGCAGTTGGACCAGCCGTCCTTAGGGACCTCTTCAATGGCTTCATTAAACGCATTCACCGCCGATTCAAGGCTCGTAAAATGTGTGCCTCTAAGTTTATCTTTAATTTTTGGAAACAAAAAGAAGTTGCAGGGTGCGAGGTCTGGGTTGTAAGGCGAATGCGTTATTAGTTCCACTTTTGAAGCCTTCTAATAGGATTCTGTTACCTTATCGAAATGTGAGGGTACGTTATTGTGGTGAAGAAGGACATTGCTTCAAGGATGCTTTTCGCGAACTTTTTGTAAGGCTTTGGGCAAGCAAGTGTTGACATACCAATCTGCAGTTACTGTCCTTTGATCTTCAAGCGATACTGTAGTGTAATGTTCTGATTTGCCGAAAAAAGAAACAACCATTTTTTTACCAATGCTTTCACTTTTCTTTACTTTTGTCGGCAAATCTTCAAAAGGAAAGACCCACTCTGACGACTAGCTTTTTCTTTCGGGTTTAAATCAGTATACCCAGATTTCGTCACCTATCATGATTTTATAGACAGCCAATGACTGTCCTCTGTTAAACTTTTATAATTTTACAGCACCACGGACACGCAGTCGCTTCTGGTCCTCCGTTAAGTCATGTGTATCCATCGAGTGCAAAGCTTCCGAAACTTTAGATTTACATGTAAAATGTTTTGCACTTGGCTCATTCCAAGGCCTAACAAAGCACGAATTTGTTGGCATTTAATTTTTTGTCAGTTTGAATAATTTGTCGTACGGTGTTCAATATTAGAGTCAGTAACCGCAGTTGCCGGTCGACCTACACGTACCTCGTCATGGAGATGATCACGTCCACGACTAAATTCTCCAAACCACGAATACACAGAGCTGTGACAAAGTACTTCATCACTAAATGCCAATTGAAGTCTCTGGCAACTCTCTTGTTAACTTATCATAAAAATTATTGAACGAAAATGTTCACGAGGTAAATTCATTTTGATAACGACACACAATTTTCGAAAAGACGTCAAAATGAAAAAACAAATGATAATCTCGCAAATTCAAAAGTAACATGTTCCCAAAGAGTTCGATTTTCGGATTCCATAGTTACATGTCAATTTTTATGCACCTCTTATGGATATCGGCAGGCCGTTCCATAATCTGACAGCCTGCACCATGAGAGATTTGTCATAGAATATGGTGGTCTGGCTAGGTACCATTAACTCTACAGATTCCGACGACCTTAAGGATCTCAGATGTATCACTGAGGAACACCAAACGTTCCTTTAAGTAAGGTGGGGTAAATGGATTGAATAAGATACTATAAATAATATAAAGAATATGTGTATTCCGTGGAAGTCGGATTGAGAGCCACTTAAGTAATTTACGAAATTGAGTCACATGATCATATTTGCGTAAACCAAATATAAATCTAATGCAGAAATTTTTAAGGCTCTCAAGTTTATCAAGTTGCTCCTCAGTGATATCGAGATAGCCGACATTAGCGTAGCAAGTATAGGAAGAAGCAGGGATTCAGCTAGCGCAATTTTTTGTGACCGTTGGAAGATAGTTGCGAAGTCTTCGCAGTGAGCCCACCGATGCAATCATTTTTCTACTAACTTCGCGTAGTTGGGGGCCCCAGCATTTAGTACCATCAATCAAAATTCCTAGTGTCTTAACATAAGTACTGATCGAGAGTACAACATCATTAAATTAGATGTCAGGTAATTCAGAACAGTCGATTTTAGAGTGCATCCTTGGACTGCCTACAACAATGACTTTGGTCTTTGATGGATTAACAACAAGTCCATACTGGCTGCTCCATTCATATACCCGCGCTAAATCTAAGTTCATCACAGAGAAAGCTTCAGACAATTTTTTTTATGGAGCTTGCGAATATATTTGAAGGTCATCTGCGTATGTGGTAGGTTAAGAGTAATGATTAAGAAATAGAATTAATAAAAATAGTGAAAAGCAAAGGAGATAAAACGCCATCCTGTGGTACTTTAGCAGACGTATTACACCATGAGGAAAAGGATTCCTCGCGCTACCTACGCGCACACGCTGCCTTCGACCTAACAGGTAACTATGAAGCTAATCAATCACCGTTGGAGTTATGATAATAGTGTGTAACATGCCTAGCAAGATGTCGGAGTCCATCGTATTAAATGCATCGCTGAAATCGAGTAGAGAGAGTACTTTAAGTTTACCGTGCTCCGTACCCAGCCCGATGTCATCAGTGATATTGATCAGCCCGCTTACCCTGTAATGGCCAGTACGGAAGCCCGATTGATAGGGAGGTATTTTTCATGCTCACACTGCCTAAAAACCAGTGTAATTATTTTTTTGTCTGTCTGTCTGTTTGTTCCGGGTAATCTTCAAAACGACTTGACCAATTTTGATAATCTTTTACTACCAGGTAGCTGTCTATGTAAGGAGTAATTTAGGCTATTTTTCCTCTCAGAAAAACACTGTAAAATTTTGCCCGGTCGGGGAATCGAACCCACTAAAACAGCGTTTTTAAATTACACGAATAGGAAAACTATCTCAAATCATAAATCATATTTGCCATGTGCTAATATGATTTATGATTTTAGATAAAAAAAAATGGCTTGCCTACTTTACGTTCTAATTGAGTTGATTTTTATTTATTAATCATTTAGATTTTTTATAAATGTTTCACGCAAGAACAGGTTCACTTTATTACTTTAAATAGGTAACGCGGTTCTATACAGATCGTAAAGATAAAATCGTATTGAAGTAGTATAGTGCGCCGAGGGTTCCGTACCTACCCATTATACCATTACCATTTCATTCTTTTATTCTCCTTTACACAATACCACAATTTTATTTATTTACTTTATTTGAGGTTGGTGCCAATTAAGCTAGTCCTCTAAATTGTATGAGCACCCATACAACTCAGAAGACTTAATTGGCGTCAACTATGTATGTGTGGGGACACCTTTTTATTTTTCGTTTTTTTTTCTTTATTTGTACTGTAAGACATGCTTTTAGCCAAATTTCGTGATTCTAGGTCAACGGAAACTACCATATAGGTTCTCGACCCAAAAGTAAAGGGAAAATTCCAAAAAAAAAGGTTGAAAATTTTGGTAAATTTTGGTACTAAGAAGTTTTCGCGAAAATCCAAATTTGCCCATATATTTTTATGATGACTCAGGACGTTGATTTTTATACACCTAATAGGTACTATAGACCTCAGTATCTGGTATAAATTTCAACTTGCTGGGTCCACCCGTTCCTGAGAAAATTGGTGGTGACAAAATTGATTGGTTTGTACCTTTTTGTACGGAACCCTGAAAAAGAAAAACATTATATTTATAAACATTA